AACATTCGAGTGCAGATGTCCTTTTTACAGAATGTCTTTTTTTCCTTTGGGTAGATGCCCAGTAATGGAATTGCTGGATCAAGTAATATAGTTTTAACTTTTAGGTATCTCCATATTACTTTCCATAGAGGATGTACTAGTTTGCAGTCCCACAAGCAGTGTATGGGTGTTCCTATCTCTCCCGCATCAACACCAACATTTGTTGTTTTGCGACTTTTTGAAACAAGCCAGTCTCATTGGAGTTAAACAATATCTCATTGTGGCTTCGATTTGCATTTCCATGATGATTAGAAATGTTGAGCATTTTTTCCATAGGTTTATTGGTCATTAGTCTATCTTCTTTTCAAAAGTTTCTGTTCATGTCCTTTGCCCATTTTTTAATGGGGTGGTTTGATTTTTTCTTGCTGATTTTTGTGAGTTCTATATAGATTCTAGTTATCAACCCTTTATGGGATGTGTAGCATGCAAATATTTTCTCCCATTCTGTAGGTTGCCTATTCTCTCTAATGATAGTTTCCTTGGCTGTGCAGAAGCTTTTTAATTTGATCAGGTCCCATTTATTCATTTTTGTAGTTTCTGTGATTGCTTTTGGGATCTTCTTCATCAATTCTTTGCCTAGGCCGATGTCTATAAGAGTTTTTTCCAAGCCCCTCAGGACTTAATCCCCGCCAATGCTTTTCTCCTCCCAGTTCTGCTCCACAACCTCTTCCCATGGAGTCTCCTGTAGGTTCAGGCACCCTTCCTTCAGACCCCCATCTGATCTATGTTTGTCTGTTTGGATTTTCTCTTTCATCTAAAACGTCTCCTTCTTACAAAGACACTCTGGCTGGTGGTGTCTTTGGTCCTCCATCTTGCTCCTCGCCCAGGTGTGGTAATTTTTCTACCTATATACTTTTAAAGTCTATGTTCCACATCAAGTTAATTTTATCTCACACCATAGGTGTGAGATAAAAGTTAAGGTTCATTTTTTCCCATGCTGGTATCCAGTTGTTCTAGCTCCAATTTCTGAAAGACCATCCTTGCATCCACCGAATAAGGATACCAACTTTGTTGAAAATCAATTAACCATAGATGCACAGGACTATTTCTGGGCCTTCTATTTGTTCCATTGTTCTCTCTGTCTACCCTTAATCTTGATTATTGTTATTTTATACTAAGTTTTGAAATCAGGGAGTATAAATCCTCAACATTGCACATTTCCCAGAAACATTATTCTCATTATTCCAGGCCCTTTGGGTTTCCATGTAAATTTAATCAGCTTATCAAATTCTATGCAAAAGTCTAATGTAATTTTGATTGAAATCACACTGAATCTATAAAATAATTTATAGATAACTGTCATCATAACAATGTTGTGCCTTCCAATAAATTAACATGGTATACGTCACATTTATTTAAGTATTCATCAATTTCTCTCAGACTGCTTTGGCATTTTCAATATAT